TTTAAAAAGCCCAAAAGAATTAAATCCAATTAAGGTCAACAAATCGCATTTTCTTCCTTAAAATGAATGAAAACTAAAAAATAAGAACAGTTTTACATACGTTCAGAGTAAATTTCTCTCTCTCTCTCTCTCTCTCTCTCTCTCTCTCTCTCTCTCTCTCTCTCTCTCTCTCTCTCTCTCTCTCTCTCTCTCTCTCTCTCTCTCCATTACTACACATAGATAGTGATGAACATACTGCCTTGCTCCCTCACCAAAATAGCCCCCTTTGTCTCCCAACTTTTCCCATAATATTTATATTATATTGTCTACGTCCAGGAGGATCATGACCCGGAACCACCAACGACGCCACCCACCACTCCCAATAATGGTGATTGTCTCGTATCTTCAGCAAGCGTATGGTACAAGAGGTTGCATTTAAGCAGTGTACCCCATCGTGGTATTTACTTCATGTTCTTGTTATATAGAACGTATGTATGTATTGGTGCTCGAGTGTATTACAGGTTTTCTTCACTTCCCGTAATTTACAGATTTGCATTATGTGTCTTGTGTGTCTTGTTAATTTGAATTGATATGTATTACTCTGAGGATTGAGAGTTTGTTGTAAGACAGGTCTTCTCCACTTCATAGTAACTGTAATATATATGAGCGAATTGTTACTTATAACTGTGAAGATTTAATACCTGGGTATAACACAGACCTCCATTCCCTCGTAATAACGTTCCACATTGAGTTGCACATTTTTTTTTTCACAAACAGCTTCGAGCACCAATACCTAGGTATGACGCAGGTCTTCGCCACTCCTGTAATTGGTTACCTAATGTGCGGAACCTCCAGATCCTCCTGGTAGAGCCGCAAGCCTCCGGGAGAACATTCCAGACCACGCTAACTCGCCGAGATCAATTGTTGTAATAACGTCAGGCAGGAGCTGGAGCAGTCATGCAATAAATGATACAGAAACAGATGCAGGAGAGGCAATATCCTGCTGGAGATTGTCTAATGCGGCTCTTGGGCCATCTCATGAATAGCTAATCATGCTTCTAAACTCGCCTTATGACGAGCTCGTAAAGGAACATAAAAGGAAGGGTCATTGACGGGTCAACCTGGAGTTTTAACTCGTCGATAAAGTTAAGTTACTCCTTGCTTTAACTAAGTGCTATGCTTACAGGGGGTTTTATTGGTCATAAAAGCATGGAGCATATTTGGCCTGGTCAAAGTGTTCACAGGTAGGTTCCAGTGACGGGTTCTTCAGCCTTAATACCTCCCTTGTATAAATTACCCTTACTTGGAGAATCTATAATTTGTCTGTTATTCTTTATAGCTCACTATTGACGCCATCCTCCCTAAGACCTCATTATATAGCCGAAGCACTCCTGACCACCTTGTATATTGCCTATTTACCAAAGCAATAACAGTCCACCGGAAGGCCATTAAGCTCCTTCATATATCACACCAGAGGAGGCGGAGGACCTTTACGTGTTAACAGTATGTGAATTAAAGATATTTCCTTTCCTTATAGTGCAATTTAAGTCTTTTTAAAAGCACAAATTCGAGTTATCGACTTTCGTTATATATCCAAAAAAATCTTTGAAATTAAGACGTGAAGGACAATATAAAACAAAAAATAATTCGTCTATATTCTCGGGGAATTTGAAATTTAGAATTTAAAATCTTGCTCGCAGAATTCAGTGCCGCGATTAAACTTTAATAAGACGATAATACCCTGATTCTCAAACGTTCTGTGACGCACTGAATCAGCGAGGAACGGGATTAATCTCAGCTCTTCTTGTCTTTCGTTAATGTCAGGCCAATTAGGGACGCGTATTCTTTTGCTCTACTGAGGACATCCTGATGTGTCGGCGTGAGCGAAGTTGGCGATGTAGCTTCTTAATATAGAATGACTTGTTTCTCATGAGGCTGAATGATACACCCAATCATATGACAAACTCAAGTCATATAAGATCCTATGACATACACGGTTTCATCACATAGTCACAAAACAGACAATGCCATAAAATATTCACGATCTCATAACATTCAGTTTCAGGCACTGTCACATCACGGCCATTTGACATGCACGATCACATGATACGCACGATCACATGGTATACACGGTCACATGACATTTCAAGGTCTCATGTCATGTACGTTCATTGACATTCACGGTCATGTAACATGCACGACCAATGACATGCGCAGTCACACAGAGCAGATAGTTATGTGAAATCCGCTGATACATAGCGAACACTGATATTTGGCACAGTTGCATGGCACTTAATGCTACCTGACCAACCTCATGACACTCTTACATAACAAAGCTGCATCACACAATGTTCCATGATACATCTCCTATGATAGCCACTGTTACATGACACTTGTTGCAACATAACATATTCACATGGCAATCACTGTTAAATGACACAGCTGCATACACTTACATAACACAGCTTCATGACACCATTGCATGACACATCTAAATAACACTTACTGTTGCATGAAATCTACTGTTACATTCCAAACACAGCTGCCTAAAAGTACACTTGACATAAGAAGACGATGATGATGAAAAATGTAAAAGATGAAAAGAATAAAGGTGACCGACACTCACCTCAGCAACAACAATAACAACATCAGTAACATCGAGTCAAAATAGAAAAGCATTTGTAAGAGTAATGATATGAATAGAAATATACAGAGAGAGTGAGCAATAAACATACACACCAAGAAACACAGAGGTGAAAGATTGATTGTAATGCCCCCGCCAAGAGGAGGACGCCCATCCCCTTTGGCCAGTGAATGCTCAGTAGTGTCAAATTATGTGATCACCGGACCACCCACTCGACCAACTACTCAGTAATAGACAGAAAAATAACACTCCTGCCACCCAATCATCTAGATATTAACACAAAAAATAATTAATGTGACGATGATGATGGTCATTATTTTGATGGTAATAGAAATAGAACAATAATAATAATACTAAAGTACAGTAATGATACCCTCGGCATATCCTGTACTCACTCAGAGACCACACTCGCGCAAAACTCACAGGATAAAGCCTTGTCAGAGTTTTTAAAAAAATACGGTAATTATTCTAATGTTGTTCACGACAGCCTGTTGTTTAAGTAAATAGGATCACTGAAATGAAAGGAAATTAACATGATATTTTTCATGTACACTGATATGTTTGACAATTTTAATTTTAACCGATAGTTTCATCATTTCAAAAAGTTATATTCGTTTATCGTAAAATTAGTTTTCTATGATATTAAATACGGTTTTGTTTTCTTTGAGTAAGCTCCTTTTATATGGTCAACTAAAGTAATAATTCTATATCAGCCCCATTTAAATACATATTTCGGTCGCTTATACATATACACAACACGAATGGTAAAATTTTAACAAGAGGAAGTTTAGTGAGTGTAGGGGCTAATATATGGTTGATTAATCACACCCAACTATAACGACCACATTAAAACACCACAAACATGAGGTCATCATAAAGAACCAGGATAGGATTCGGCCACTCTTCCATGACCCTCTGAACCCTCCTGGCGTGTTCATTAATCCTTAAAAGGACAATCCCTCTCATTCATTAAATGGAAACTATCAAAATAATTTTCTACATAAGTATTACTAACTACCATAGGCCTTTCAACGGGAAATTAAGTTCACGGTGTATCAAGGTATAGTACAAATGTATTGCTATAATACACCAATAACTTATGCACTTAATAAAGGAAATCTTATTTAGTCACAAGACATTACAACCGGAAACCAACATAGACATTTGCTACTGTTGGTATCTGATGATGCACTGTACGTTAAATCTTGCTGTCAGAATTTTACATAAGAGCTCAAGAATCGGTTAATAATGGAGATAAAGCGCCCACTCCGCCCACTACGAGGATCACAGCCTGTCTCAGTTACTAACGGCGTAGTTTATTTTCCCCCAATTGATCTACAGGAGAATATTTCACGTCCTTCTCGTTGCATTTTATCTCCATATTGTTTGTTTTTATAAACATGGCATTGTGTCTTCGGTTCTCGGTGGTAAAGAGGTAAATGAGCTTCTTCCTCACCATTGTGACTTGGGTCCAGTATCGCCTTAGGTCTGATGTGAGAAAATAATTACAATTTGCTCCCACTGAACAAAAGAGATCTTCTGCGGGCACTTCGGATTCCTCCTGTAGTAACAATAGACCCCAGGAGGATGGCCCTCACTAGACCTCTAAGGAAAGCAGGTGGTCAAACAAGAAAAAGTTGTCCTGTATAAGTACAGTATATTATTCAGGCAATTAATCAAGTTTTTGTTTGTGTATTTTGTTTTTTTCTCTCTGTATTTCCCCTGTGTCTCCCAATTCTTATTCCTCTCTACAGTATGTATAACTGCACAGTATATACATTTAGCTCGCTATTCGTCAATAATTCTAAACCTGGATGCTTATCGATTTGCGGATCGTGCTCTAAGTTTATAGCTAGTCAGTGCAGGACCAGACAGGTATTATCGTATTATTCCTTGACACTGGACAATGAAGTTCATATATATATATATATATATATATATATATATATATATATATATATATATATATATATATATATATATATATATATATATATATATATATATATATATATATATATATATGTATCAGCGAAAAATTATTAATAGGGAAAATATACATTGAACAGCAACCTATTGAGTTATTAATATTTTTTCACGTCACTTGCCATGGGTAGTTTTCTGCTCCTTATCCCATTTTTCACTGGTTCCCGTATGTCGTGTCGTGCGTGTCCTTCTGATGGTGAAACCTGATACTCTTTGGTTATAGTTTCCAGATAACATTGTGCCAATGTTGAAACTTTTAAGATTCAGAATTTTTAACCATCACCTTTCTTCTTTAGACTGAGTATCGTGCGAGTGAGTCACCCAAAAATATTATTGTTGGCAGTAAAATGTTGATTTTGGTTTATAATGTTACCATTAAGGCTTTGATACGCTGATTCATATATTTATTTCAGTCTTCTATTGTCTAAAATATCATTTACATGAAACTTCAAAATTTAACTCTAAGCATAAAGAGGAGACGTGGAGGTTCAGTTAAGCTTAATTTGGTCTTGGAAAAGTGATGCAAAGTTTTATGTGTCCGGCAAAATACAAGATTTACTCTACAGGAAATGAAATACAAGATATAAAGAAATAAAAGAAAATTGGATAGATGCATCATTCTCAATGTCATGAAAATTCTTCATTATCAATCACACAAATGTCAGCCATCAACTGAAGCCATGGTGTAGCTGTTGAAACATCAGGTCCAATCGCTCCTTCGTCAGCAGTACTAAACTGTAGGCCTGCTGCCACAGTCCACATTATTTGGCCAGTCACAAACGTGCTTTATGTCATTATACATTAAATTGGCATCACAGTGGAAGCTCCAGGCGCTGCCTCCGGAACACTCGCAGTAGTTCGCACAGTTGTCGGGGTCCGCGATGTATACCGGAGCTGTGAGGGAGTGAAACACGTGCTTGGAAGCGAGAACACAGTGTTTCAATGAATAACCAAACTCCACTATAAACATCAACATTATTCTTACAAGAGGATTGTGAGACTAGCCTGACCCTTGAGCAATATAATTTAAACATAAACTAAATATGAGGAAGAGTACTGATAAATACAACAGAAGGAGAATTTCAAGGGAATACTTGGTGTAAACAGAACTCACGGGTCGGGTCATTGACAGGGCACTGGGCCGAAATCTCTTTGCTGCATTGCAATTCTTGGCCGTTCGTCCTGCCCCCCCGTAGTGAGAGGACACACAGCCCGGCCACAACCACTACTACGAGCGACTTCTGTAGGGAAGTAATCAATGAGCAAACTATGGTTCACAAATGATACGAGACTCTCCACTCGAGACACGAATATGAGAAAAGGATTACGTGAAGAAGACTGGCGACTCTACTTGAAGATACTGGTCATGAATTTATAACATGTTAGACTTTGAGTCTGAGGACACACTTAGTCTGAATTTATGGCAATCGACTGTAAAATTAATACTTTGAAGTTACAAAGAATACTGTACTTCACTGGTAATGAGGCAACTGTATAAAGATATACGGGACTGATTTTGTCAAATTAAGAGCAAAATGAAAAGCATTATCCTCAGCTAACATAATAGAGAGGCTCACCATTACTGGTCGAATGTTCAGAAGTAGAGCGAGTGGAAAGCTGGTGATGTTTTATTGCTACGATGTACCATCCCGCCGGCGTCCACTTGATGCCACGGTTGGCGAGACTATGAACTGACACTGTTCCCCTCACTCTCATTCAGCTTCCTTGACATCGACACTACACGAGAAGTATTATACGAACGTCTGAAATGCCTAATTTCCCCATTAATTCCTTTTGCTTTTCATTAAACTTGCTGAAATAACTTTGTGAAGTTTAAAGACCTTGTTTATCATAATGGCAATGCATACAGTCTCAAGTACCGATTGGTTCTCACGGGTAACTTCCCAAGGAGATGCGTTTCATTTTTTCACTCATACTGGTATGGTCCAGAAAGGCCAGAGTCCGATATACAGTATAAGGTACAGTGTCTGCTCTTTTGTGTGGTTGTTTGCCTTACACTTGCTGAAATTTGATAAGGAGATATGCATGCATCCCTGAAGTGTTACGAAGGTAGAATTTTGGTGATTGATCCCAGTGTTTGGCCTCCACACCCAAAGATGGAATTCCCTCATTAACAACATTTATTTTCAAAATCCTTTCTATGTAAGCCCACTGTTTTTAAATTGGAGGGTTGAAATTTAGTGTGTTTATTTAAATAGCCTTGAAAATGTGTTCGCGAACATCTAGCGGGCCTATCGCCACCTAAAAGTGAGCTCCCCCGTGTACTACCAGAGTTATTTAACAAAAAGACCTGAAATTTGGTATGGTTATTTTATTTGCTTATCTTTTTTATTATTATTATTTTTTGCTTGTGCAATTATTCTCAAGCAAGTACAAACAGGGGCCATGATTATTCCTGTAACTCTTGTAGGCGGTGAGGGGCCCACTGTGTTTGTGTGTGTGTTGGGGGGGGATAGCACCTTTTTAAATACAGAGATAAAATTTGGTATACTTACATAATTGAAGGCCCAGCTGAAATTTACTATGTTAATGTAAATATCCCTTAGGGCACTCACAATTTTAATATACAACGCAGTGTCTGTCTGTTTGTCTGTCACTATGATCGGCCACATTTGTAAGATAAAATCTGGTTGGGCATACGCATGCACCCCAAAAGTGTCACAAAAGGGGAAATTTTTTTTGGGGGGTTGTCTCCTTAAAACACACAGAAACCTGAGCAGCGCCGGGTACCTTGGCTAGTCCGTCGTGATAGCCAAATTTCTTGCGGATGGCTTATCAACAGCGCGCCACATTCGTCCACCTCACCAGTTGAATGACCAGCCTTGTCTGGCAATATATTCTTCCTCCATGCTGTTCTTGTTGACTCCAATACTACCTTGTAACAGGTTTTTGGAGAAAACCCCCATCAAACACCATGTCGCCTGGTGAAATAGTCCAATGTGGAACCAGTGTAGATAAATGTAGCCCAATTTAGACCTTTAGTCTATAGAAATGTAATGTAATTTAGCGTAAAGTATACCTGATGTAGTGAAATATGGCTGTCTAGACAAGAATAACTCTCTCCCATCATTCACTCACCTTGCCTTCTGTTCTGTTATTGTACTTCTACCACTGGCCTCTTCTTACTCCTGTCTCTTCACTCGAGCCAACAAGCATCATTCATCACAACCAATCTGTTCTCATAAACTTTGTAATTAATAAAAGAAAACTAGTTTTTCATCTCTCTTCCTTATTGTTTATTTGTGCTATGTTGTATAAACGTTTGTCTGTCTGTGTTTGCATCACTTCAGATTTTACCTGCCTCTCCAACCGTCTATTCTATTTTCGTATTGTCTTTCTTGTTTCATCTGTGTTCTGTCTCCGGCTCACTTACCTTTGCTTGACTCTCTTAGAGTTTATGGTTATAATCACAGCAACAGTTTGAAAATATGTATCATAATAATTACAATATATATATATATATATATATATATATATATATATATATATATATATATATATATATATATATAATATATATATATATATATATATATATATATATATATATATATATATATATATATATAAAAGTAGCGAGTATTGATTGAAGAAAATCGTGACAATAATAACAATAGATTAATAATAATAATAATAATAATAATAATAATAATAATAATAATAAATTATAACTGTAATCCTAAGGTCGGGAATGGAGGACAGTAATAAACACTATACATATTGTAACTTCTTAAACAAGTAAATATATCAACAGATCTCTAAACCATCTGAAAATCATGTCACAGCATTACACATCGTCTGTACACCTATTAAATAATCATGTTACTATATTATCTATTCCAGTAATTATTTGAGAATACATCATTACACTGAGTATTATACGAGTATATTGTGCCTCGCCTATGAGTGACAAACGGACGTATTCCCACAGTCATATTACAGTTGTTTCACAATAATGCTACAGTTATATCATAGTCGTATTTCAGTTATAAATTATTATAGTTTTACATTTGTACCATAGCCATGTTATATTTGCATTACAATTACATTACAGTTGTACTGCAGCAGGTACCACAGTATGCTACAGTTGATCCATATATAGTCGCGCTATAGTCGTTCTACTCTCAGACATCAACAAGCACTGTCACGCAGTAGTGTGGTAATCCAGAGTCTTGATGATGACGGTATTCTCACAAATTGTTAAACATTCATCCTGTAGTGGCAGAACCAGTTTACTCTTAATTGCAATAAGGTCGTCCGACTATCAGATTCTGATTAAGATTTGCCCTCGCGCAGGCACATGTGATATTCTATTGGGCACATCCTTACACCGTATGTAAGGTAAAACGCAGAAGCATTAGGTCCTGTTGTCGTGCAACCTTCGGCCACGGCAGCTCCTTTGTGATTCAGGCCGTGGGATCACACAGACAAGCTTTGTCTGGCTGCTGATAGCGCGTACGTCACCAAACACCTGAATCACACCGCTCCGTCTCTCACCTGTGGGAATATTACACCAAATGATTCTAATGGTGGGGCTTACGACACAAAATATTCTCTTATGCTTATGACCCAACAAACTTAAAAAGTGCCCTAAGGGCATAAACCGTCTACAAGAATTACGACACATCAAACCTTCGAGTCTAATGAGCTCACGACACAACAAATTATCTTATGGCACAGATATTTGACACAACATATCTCGTGTGAGGTACTATTACAACCAACCCTTTCCCTTGCATTAGCAGCTGAAAAAACAACCTCACCAGTTACTCCAGTTCATGATACACTAATCTCTCTAGTAGCATGAACATGACATAACAAACAAAACTCTCTGGTAGTGTGAGCATATGAGACAACCGTCTCTGACAATCTGAACAACAAACTCTGGTAGTGCAACCATGAGAGAACAAAATTCTCCTGTAGCTTGTGACAGGAATATATGACAAATATCTCACATGAGGTTCTCGGTATTTACTTATCTAATATTGACACGAAAAATACATTATATACACCTTGTAAATAATTGACTAATTAGACAAATGGTGTTCAGTAAACATCCAAGTACATGTGGAGGAATGATCCGTTTTGCTACGGATGATGGTTGCTATACAGAATAGTACAGTTTTAGCTTACAATGAAGCTGTGGTTCACTCAACTGCAGGTGATTGAAAATAAGGAATTAAATTCTCAAAATCTTGATTAAATTATGAAACATAACCAATGGATAGGGAAGTAACACTGCGTGTTGTGTAATTCTGTAAATATGACGGAGGGCTGTGCGACACTTCCTCGCCCCGCTATCGGGTCATCTACGGTGTTATGTAAGGCCTCCGCGGGAACACATCATCTGGCTTCAGCTACTTACAGATAAACAGATAAATATATGTTCCTTCACCTTGTACCTAGAAATTGACATACAAGGTGTCCACATTAAGATGAAACAACTTTGAAGCCTTCTATATTTTTATGTGTAAATGTCAGGTTGTTGATTCTTGTACAGTTATCGTACCATATATCTAGCTTTCTGTGCTTAGTGTTTTGTGTGTGTGTGTGTGTGTGTGTGTGTGTGTGTGTGTGTTTACTGAATTATGATGACCCCACAAGAAAAGTCGAAATGTTTGTTATGGATGGCTGAACTCAAGTCACCTACCCTGGTGCAACGACGATTCTATACAACGTTGGCAAGGAAGCACCGACCCTGAGGGACCTGTAGGCGTGGGTGAATCAGTTTGAGGAGACTGGCAGTGTTCTAAAACAGCCAGGACGAGGAAAGCCCAAAACATCGGAGGAAGATATTGAACAATTACATCACGTTGTCTTCCGCACGAGATTAGAGTTGATTAGTTTGGGTTAGATTAGGTTAGGTTAGGTTAGGTTAGGTTAGATTTGTCGAGAATCATTTTATTTTCGGCCATCGTGAAAGACAATGTGACGAAATTTTTCCGTACGATCAGCCACTATCACAGTTCAGTGCAGGGCCATCAAACAGCTGGGTTTTCCCTGTTGTCCTAGATGCCTTACATAACCGTCTTTATGTACTCGTGTGTATGGGAGTGTAGGCCTAGCTCAGCCCTAGCTCGTTGTTGTCTTGACAAGCTCATCTAGCATGGTGAGTACTCGTAAGCTATTTGGCTTTGAGGACATCATACTATTCTCGTCGTATGAAAGTTAAATAAAAAAACTGTTTACCTCCGTGCTGGGACACTCTGACCTTTCTTTTCTGGCGGGTTGTGGTGGACAGTGGTGTTTTGGCTTCGAGGCGAACGGCAGGAAAACTATCTTTAAGTAAGTAGATCAAGTTTGAGACTTCTCCTCACCATTAAACAGATTCAAATAGATTCACCCAGCAGTCGAAAAGCTACGAAGCGGGAGAAAGTTACTCTCGTTAAAGCTGTTGGAGTCGTGCCTATTAATCCATGGAGAACATCCCATAAAATACTTTTCCATTGTTCAAAATTCCAACACTAAAATATAAACTCTAGGCGTCATAGAATACAGGCACTAGAAACTTCATGTCAGATTAATATAAATGTAACAGCTATCACATCTCTGTGTGTTAGTTGTCGTTGGGCGACGTATAAAAATCTGCTTCATTGTGCTGTTATAGGACTCTCTTTACATTTTTATGTAAGTCATATTTTAATTTTTACTCTATTTTTCATTCATCCCTTGTCATCTTTAGTAAATCTGTTATACTGACGCTGGTGTTTTGTTTACCGAAGTGTGGGTTGTTGTTGGTGGCGATGATAGCGGTGGCTGTGCCCGCTCTGGGCCAGGAGAGCACCACCGCGGCACACCAATGTTCTCATGAGATTTCCGACAAGTGCCCTCCAGTTGATGGTTCTAGTGGGTACCTGTTGTGAAGGCTCTGTGTGTGTGTGTTTTTTTTCTTTTTTGCTTCAAACTAGTATATATCAATAAACCGTGTATTGTGTGTGTGTGCATCATACTTACCCGTGTATTTTGCATGTGCATCATATAACAGTATACCCGGTTGGACATTTGGGAATTTTGCAGAGCCTATCTGATATCGTGAGTTTTATTATCCAGTTGAATGTTGAGTGAACACCCCCAAGGTGGAAATCCTTGTAAGCCGACGATCAGTGATTTGTGTCGCATTTATATGGGTGTTCACAACTATCATACTCATAGCTCAGCTGACCCAATTAGCCTGAAACTGTTCATTTGGTTACTTACTTGACCTGGATGAAAAAAAAAATCTTTCATTATTGATTTACACCGTTTTCAATACAGAACCTGATTTGCACAGAGTTCTCTACAGTGTATTACAAATCTGCGTGAAATACCATTAACCAAATTAAAATGTGGAAGCATGTTTGACCCTCGGGCGAGATTAATGTCTTTGACACTTTAAACTTTGTCTCCCCCTGTTCACACACACACACACACACACACACACACACACACACACACACACACACACACACGGTAATGAATGCCATGTTGATAAATATGACTTATGGAAGACATCATATTCGTTCGTCTTCAATTATTTCTGATATTTATCATTGGTTAACTTGATTTTCTTGATTCTGAGGTCTATCTCTTGTAAATCTGTATAATTGGGAGAGCATGGTCAACTGTGGTGACCTCCCCATTCTGCCCTGAGCACCAGACACAAGAACTTTCCTTCTTGGTAATATTTGTGGATTTGGATAATATTTTTTATCATATAAAGTATTTCTTTTATATAACCTCTACATTATTGATAATATTCTCTGCTATTTCTCCATAGACGTATGGACACAAACTAACACTCCTGAAAATCAGGTAGAAATGTATGTTTAGAAAACAAAATTAATGTTGATGTTATAAACATGTTGGTTCACTAAACTTGAACTCATTGTGCTATAGAAAATTCATCTTATTAATTCTGTACAAGTGTACAGGAAATAGATATATTCCTGCATGTCTTTCCCGGATTATAACTGATAGGAGGGAAGCGCTGGTGAGCAAAGACCACACCTCAGTGTACAGTATACCAGGCCATTATACCCACTAAGTTATTAATCAAAGAACACTGTTAGTCCTGGTTAATAATGACAAGGACCTAGTAAATTAAAAACAAAGTTTCTGAGTACGAAGGGGACGAGCAGACTCAATACAGAGCAGGCGAAGACAAACATGGACGGCGTCACGGTCGATTCTGTCGTATTAGGAAGTGTTGTGCGTAGACGTGTAGTTACTTGCTTCTGTACACAAAAGGCTGAAACCACGAGTTGAAGGAAAACATTCAAGGATGAACACGAAAATTATTGACCAGAGAGAACTCCGACGGCCAAGTTGTGTGGTTACATGAAGTACATTATATGAAAGTAAAACATTGTTTGCTGGTATTTATTTTGTGTGGCGCTATGAACGTGTCTGGATATTTTTAAGTGTGTTTGTGTGTTCTTATATTTTTTTCGTTTGCGCATCTGAACAGAGAAAGATGGTTAGTTGCGCTGTTTGTTATTTGTTGACCAGACGAAACTTAAAGACAATAATGACCAATTTCGCGGCCAAATACGGGTTTTCTTTAGTTTTCAATCATATTAGCAAATGTGTTAATCTACAGGTCAAAAACACTACCATGCTACTCCTGGATTGACACTTTAAGCTTAAATTTATCTCCACTGCCGTGTGTTTGTTCTAACATTAAGATGAAAATCCAGTTAGAGGGAAAGCAAAAGAAAAAAAACATTCTTTGAACACCGTTTACCACAGTAACTAACTCTACCTTGCCCAAGACTCCCTGTATCGTTGGATTATACGAGAAAGTTTGGTTACGTTTAGTTGGCTGGTTGACGTGGTCTGCTTTATATACATAGTTAATATTCAAACTCAGTATTCCTTTACTAGTGAAGATCTCAAAAATTTAAAGATAAAATGGAGCTAATATACGCCTAAAATAATAATTGTAGTTGTAAATTATGGACTTTTGCTAATTTTGTAACCCGGAAAAATTTTAGGTGATACTGTTGCAGATCAATAATGTTTGTTTAAAGTTCCAAGTTTTGTTTTAAAGGACTTCTTCGAGAATCAGGAACATTAATAGCATTAATTAATTGAAAGCAGTAAATAAAATTTATACTTCCTTTTTAAATCATAAATAATGATTGTTTAAAAAAATTAAGATATATGATTTAGTTTTTGTAGTTAAGGACAATAAGAAGGTTTCAAACAAACATTACGTCATTCGTCTATGAACAGTTGAGCAGTGCGGTATCGATCGATTAGGCTCCACGGCACTGAGTATCCGAAATTTATAAAACCTCTTGGTCATGTCATTATGCATACTGTAAAATGATAATGAACAAATTATTACTGTAACATGAATAAAGTATAATATTTTATAATCTGCAACCTCTAACTGAAAAGGTCAAAAGAATGACAGAGCTTATACCATAACCAAAACAGTTTCAGTAACGTCACAAGATTGAAAGCGGTTTCGAATAATTGTCCCGACACTGTCTTCTTCCCTGCTTCGGAGCCGTTTCGCTCAAATCCAAAACCCACTGTCGTTCAGTTGTCTTGCCTACATGACCACTGACCGGAGCACCACGCTTCTCTGCTGCCCTGGTAATGACTGACTCCAATTCTGACGCCGACATCGCCGAGCTGGTTTCCTCTATAGTTAACTCGGCACTGCCCGAATGTGATCAAGTAAGTCATTCAGTGCTACTATCGACGGAGAGTCAACCTATGACGTTTCCACGGCAAAGTGAGGAAGGAGTCACACCGTGGCACCAGGGCGGAGCAGCTGTGAGGGAAGAGGAACGACAAAATGTGATAGAGCGTCGCTCGAGGGAGTTTACGCAAATGGCCAGGGGTTTGGTTTCAAGACCCCAGGGGCCCAACTTTGACACCAGCCAAAGTTACTTCCCTTGGTTTTCAGACCTTAGAACTTTGAGGCCTGTGACTGTGACGGTGGAGCGTTCAACTCAAACACTGACAGTAGCCATTGCAAGATTCCCTGTGGAGAGTCGTAGCTTCCCAGTGCCTTGGAGTCGACGACTTCGTACCGCCTCGGCAGCAACGCAAACTGAGACAAACACTTGGAGACACAGTCCACCTGTGGACAGGCCAGTGGTGCCCACATGGGACACTCTGCCGGAAGAGATGTTCTTTATGGATGACCTCACTCCTCACCCTCTGGACGCCAGCCTTGACGACGCATACTTTTCCGCCTCCCTGGACAGTTTCAGTCTCCAAGGCACTACCCATCATGAACTATCACCCCATGTCACAAACTTTTACGACGACTCCCCAGCTAGTGCTTCCTTCCATGAAACTTCTGTCTCCCGTATTTGGTTCCTCGAGGGACTACGAGCAAGATGGCCCACGACATTACCACAGAGGGAAGATGACGTAGTTATCATCTTTTCATCCGTTGGAAAGAAACGTACCGTGGCCACCAACACACTTCACGTGGGCTGGAGACGCCAACGACCGCCTCCCACTCGCCTACGGTTACGGAAGCTCTCCCTGGGCTGGCTTAGTAACCCTGTCACCACTGAGGCTGCTACCCAGACTGACGAATAACTGTTAAATTTTACGTTTTCGCGTGATTCTGTGTTTTGCCTTAGTTTTGTTGTTAAATTAGTTAATGAACAACAAGAACATCTGTCGATTGTAAGGTGACTCTTACAAAGTGATAAAGAAGAAAAATCCTCTTGACATTTTTAACCAATAAATATGAAAAGGACATAAATGTACATTGATTTGAACTTGTAGGAAGAAGATAATGAGCTATCCTGAAAAATATTTAGTACTACACGACCCTGAAGTTCTGCATGTGTGGACGGTGACGAATCAAGTAGAGGACGGTGACGACCATCTCCAGTGTTCCGTGACAACATAACTCTCCTTCCAGCAGGTAAAGTTCTTATTTGAATACAGTCTCTGTGAGTACAATTTTCTTTTAGATTTGTTTATATTCTTTGTCTTTCTATGAATTGATAATGCCAACTTTATTCATACATGCATGAAGTAAGCAACAGCTGTGATGGGTAGGTTACCAGTTTACACCTGGTAATTATCGTTGGGTTCGTTGACCAATTTCATGTTATTTCTTTTATTTTCTCCAAAACTTAACTTTGCCTGAACTTGTTAACGTGTTAGTTTAGGGTCGCCACCGTTATGATTTGTTTAATACCATAATATAGTTTATACCGTGTGTGTTTCTATTATAGTTTATAAATCGAATTATCCGACGTACGAATAGGTAGCTGTTTTCCTCCCTACGTCATTTTCCCTTTCTATCTAACCACTAAGCGTTGAATTTATAATTATCACTCGTTGATTGTTTCCTGCTAAAAGCTGACTGTTCAGTGACATGTTCCGCTATTGTCGAAGCTCAGGAGACGTGTAGACAAAATACACTCTTGCCAACAATTGTAGTTCTCGACCAATTAGGTATTATTTTAGTTATGTACAACCATCTCCTTCTCATTCTTGTTATCATATTCGGGAGCACATGTCACCTGCTCACTTTTTTTACAACCGACCCACTCTATCCGAGCGTATTCTCTCGTCCACAAAAATCGTAAAATTACACCAAAGGGTTAACCCCCCCCCCTCATCTAGAAAGTCAGGTTAGGTTAAGTGGGTTTCTTTTGTTGGTTAGGTCAGGTTCTCTGAGGTTCGTTATTATTCACTTGTGACAGAAGTAAATAGAATGAAAGTTAGTCAAAATGATGAGCTATATCTATTGCATGTTAAAAATCCCAGATGCCATGCTTTCATATGGCTCCGAAATGTGGTCTTACGTTTTGACATGTATTATGAGTTCTGACTCTGCCCTCCAGGGGGGGCCAGAAACCAACGTGGAATCTTAGGTCCCCACTCTCTACTCCCTCCATGTAACGATTCTAGATTTGACAGTATACGCTGTAGGAGAATGGAAAAACGCGAGAGGCCAGGGAGTTCTGTAGACATTGAACTTGATGAAAGTGTTGGGAAGTTTGGAAAGTTATATCTGTAAATAGGTTTCATTTCGCCACTGTTCTTTCCCAAAAGTTACCGTGGTCGATTTTGTAGAGAGATGCGTCCTCATCATAAACGCAGAGATTGCAGCCCATACTGTCTAGAATATCCAGGAGAATAGTTATATTACCGTCTGTGTATGAGGAGTAGAATTTAAATTAGAAACAGCATAAGACCATAATCGCTTAGGCAGGAGAAAGGAAGTACAGAAAGAGCCATAATACAGTACAAACACATTCAGGGTGCTAAGGGTAATTAATTTGTGGTGGGTGTGAAAATTTATAATGACATCTTGTATATAAACAACAACATAGAGTACGAAGATTTATGCTATTTCAGTGGGTTGATATTTCAAATCGAAAGCTGGATTAAATCTTATATAAATCCTTAGTACGTACATGTAATTGAAAAAAAAACCAAACAATAGGATATTCATTTCAGACTTTATTAGTTCACAACACGAAAAAACACATCAATTTTGAAGTAAATGAATTATTTATTTATTTAAAGAAAAGGTACAAACTCCATAAGCCTCGATTCCAAACTCACGGTACTGTCCACCCGTAGCTGTCACTCAGAAGCCTCCCGTACCCCCTCCAACCACTCCTCGTCACCCCCTTACCTTTACATTATTACCAGATTGGTTGCCCTACCCTATTCTTGTTAGGTCTTTGTACCATCAAGCGTGAGTCGAGGAAATGAGAGACTTAATGGCATCTAAAAATCTCTGGTTGTTGTGGTTAAATCTTCCCCTCTTTACTGTATGATGACCTGGACGTGGCAGAGATTCATGACCCCGGCTGACCCTACTATTGTGATAAAACTGCCTATTGCAGGTGGAATAAGGTTGAAAATGACCACACCTTCTGAGTCTGGGGAGATAGGTCCAGCCTGTGGTAGTTGGGTGATGTCTATAGTATCACCTATATATACCGTCAGGTTGAGAGGACTGGTCTTACTCTGAATGGTGATGACACTGACGATGGTTTGACTCGAGCTGGTGTACAGACTCCAGAGGGGACTCGGATCATTGTTGGTGATGAAACAATAATATGTGTCGGAACAAAAGTAGCCATTAGCGACTTTGTTTGTGTCTGAACCAGTAGCCGTGACAGGTGATACATAATTGGTGAAGTCCTCCACAATGTCACGTTCGTCATACAGAGTAGAGAAACACTTGCCAAAGGTGAGGGAGTTCCTCTTCGGGTAACCTATCCAGCTGGGCAACACTGCAGCACTGAACAAGCTACACATATTACCTGTAAGGGGACGACAAGGGAATTATTGAACCTACTGTAAATACTTCGTTTAGTCGTCGGGGAAACTAAATGCACCATAATTCTTGTTACAGGATAATAGTATTCTTTTCTTAAGATATTGCAAAATCGTTACACACACACACACACACCTCTAAAAGAGTGTGCGGTTTCTCTCTCTCTCTATAACACATAGGTTTCTCAGTCTTTCTAATCCCTGTACCTCTCCCAGACACGCTAAACACACAGCACAACTTGGCGCCCCTCCACCTTACGCACCCGAGACGCAGAAGAAATAGCAGTAGGGGGTGTGATTACAGATGGCAGCGCAGTAGATGGTAGAGGAACAGTTCATGGTTATTTCCTTCAACAGGCAATCGTTCAGGTCCAATGGGAACGCTACGCTCATCTGCACACAGAAAAGAGAAACATCATCCTAAGTCTTGAATAATCTCACTAAAGGATCATAATAAATGAATGCGTGTGAGGCTCTTGTGTTGACGTATTTTCGACTATTTGGGAACTGATTTTCTGCCATCTGATTGTGAAGATGGATCCCCAGTCGACTCGTCCCATGTACGTTATGATGGATGTGATTTTCTTCAACAAATTATTTCTTGTTCATAAACGTGTTGCATTCCAGACTACGAGATATTTATTTATCAGTATTGACACATGCCATATATTTGTTAACTATAGTGGGCTGGAGAGTGGGTTGGAAGATGGGGTCGGGTGAGTGGGCTGGAGAGTGGGTTGGACGCAAATGGGTTGGGGAACACAAGAGGGGGAGATAAGATTTGGCGGAAAAAAATTATTTAGTAAAAATAAATGAAGGTAAGAGAAAAATGAAGGATGGTGATCAGAAAATGAAATAACCGGACGAAAAAACATCATTTGGTGAAAACAAATTGGCCAACTGCCACGTTCATACTTTAGGAGAATAGATATTTTATTAAGATCCTCGCTATTATTTTTTTAATGTTTGAGTTTTCATTTTATATTTACTTATTATAATGAGCTCTTGCCGGGGTAGACACATTCATTGTAGTACAGCGAGTGACAAAGAGAAAAAGTAAGGTATGTTATCGTACAGTCTTCTCTGTAGATATTCAAGTTTATATTTGGTCAACGTTGACCAGGAAATATTTGTACAGAAATTTAAAAAGAGCTGTAAAGTAATCCACAATGGTTTTGGATTTGGTCTTTTTTTTTGTCCGTAAATTAAAGTACCATAGTAATTATGCGTAATAAATGTGTACCCTTTCAGCCTGGAACATCCGGTAATGACGAGCAGTGACTCACCACACGTGATGGACTGATGACAGAAGTGGTGGCAGAGACAAGATGAAACAGGAAAATGAGCACCACCATGGTAGCCACAACTCGCCACGGACGTAACGTCTGGGACACACCTGACACCACATCACGGTAAGGACCTGTTTCTCTACGGACGTCCTGCAGCTTTTCATAGAGGTTCCTTAGTCTGTCCTGGACATATTTCTTTCCTTTACGGACACTCCACATCCTGGTAGATTACAAAGAGATTATCTTATGTTAAAACACACCCACAATCACGATGGCAATAATAATAATGGATGCCCCTCTTGTTCGAGGATGGCCGGTCCTAGGGCTACCTAGGCGTGAATTTGTTTAAGGGGTAGAAAGAAGCTGTGGCCAACACCATATGTTAACGAGTTGTATAACCCAGTGTCAAGGAATAATCCGAGAAGACCGGACAACTCGTCAACTGCTTTGGCTAACCATTATCCCGAAACATGATCCACAAGTCGATAAACATCCAGGTCCCAAATTACTGCTGGGTAGACAGAGTCAAATGGCGTGAAGAAATTCCCTTTAGTTTCACCCTGCCCGGGATCGAACACGGGCCCACTCACTTGCTAGGCGAGCATGCTGACAACACACACATGCTTCAACTACACCCACACTACAGTAGTTGCGGCAAAAAAAAATTTCAGCTAAAAAATATACTGTAGAAAATACACACATCACAGAATCAGATGTTCTGGTTAATATAACTAGTAATTCAAAAGGTGTTATAAGTTTGAAATTTTCTATGCTGACTGTGGCTATGACACCTGAGTGTGGCGTGACTGTTGATTAACATCCACCCTGTTCAAGTAAGATCACGAGAACGTAAGTTTTATCAATATAAAAAAAATATCTATGCAATATTCATCTGTCTGTCTGTTGCAGGTAGTCTCCCAGACTACCTGACGTACAGAAATTAATCCTGATGATAAAGGGTTTTGTTCGGGGAGTGTATTTTTTATGACAAAATGTGTAAGGGATGAGGGAGAGGTGGGAGAGGCGTGGCAGAAGCCGGATGGGCGAGGGAGACGGGTGATGAGCACGGATACAAACGGGAAAACGGCTTTTATACTATAACACCTTAAAGGAATGCATTTGTTATACTCGTGTCAGACAAACAAGAGTCCATTATTTTGGTATCAACGGCATGGCGATTGATCCATACATCACTTTGACGTACGACGACCCGTTGTGTTAGTCCAAGGAATTGTATATCATAACATAAATACCTGTGTTGGAGTGGATCGTGGTCTGAGATCATAAACAAACAAACACAAGTTGGATGACTTTTGTACACGAACGTGATACGAATAACACGAGTGATACACAAGCTTATTGAAGCGACATTAGCACTTAGCGTTCATGCTTTGGTGAGGTGTATAGTTTGTTTATGTCTGACATGTTCAGGAACGATATGTTAGAGACGGTTTATACACTTTACGAGGACCTGCTATTCTTCCATGCTATTTGTTTGCTCGTGATATTTGTACGGTCATGTTTCACCCACATAATAATAATAATAATGGTTGGCCCTCGTGTAACGAGGATGGCCGGCCCAAGGGCCACCTAGGCGTGAATTTGTTTTAGGTGTAGAAGGTGTCGCCAACACAACAACTACACCCTATCTTAACGAGCTGCATGACCCAGTGTCAAGGAATAGTGCGAAAAGACCGGACAACTCGCCAACTGCACTGGCTAATTATTACCCTGGAACACGATCCGCAAATCGATTAACTTCCAGGTTCCCGATTACTGCTGGGTAGACAGAGGCAAATGGTGTACAGAAACTTCCCCATGGTTTCACCCTGCCCGAGGATCAAACCCGGGTCCGCTGCTTGCGAGGCGAGCATGCTTACCATTACACCACACCTCACACACACACAACCTCATCACTCACAGACACACACAACCTCATCACACAAACACAACCTCCATCTCAAACACACACACCTGGACCTCTGCGTGTGAACAGCCTAGGATTGCTTTTGTTGTCCTTGTGGTAGTGATCCCTGTTCACACGCAGAGGTCCAGGATTCGATTTCCGACTATCGGCATATAATTAATCTACTGTTTTTTTTTTTTTTGGCTTTTTTATTTGCCTCTGCATTTTTATCTGTCTGTAAATCTATCACTTCACTTATCTATCCATGTCTGTATAGAGTCATGTAGTTAAACGAAAAGATAGAAAGGAGACGAATATAGAAATACTTAGTCTTAGTCGTCGGTAGTGGAGCTTCAGCTAAATTCTGGCGGGCTTGCGCGAGGGAGGGAGGGAGCCGAGCGGTCTATCCAATATTGGTGCCTCGAGTGGTTAGCGATTTCACTCTGACCACACTGCTTTCTCTTTCTCATGCGCCCCAACTTTCTGCATACTCTCATTCGACGCATCCTGGCAGATTTATGGACAAGTCAAAGTGCGTCTTGTCTGTAACACATAAATCGTGCCTAATAAGTGCCTCCTTTTATCAGCAAGTTTTACGAGTAAGAATGCTTTCAACCTATCTATAATATGGAATGGAACACAATCTCCGTAATTTTCACTTCTATGAATTTATTGAGTGTTCTGATATAGCTGACATTCAAATAATAGAAGGATCAGTATTCAATCACGAGCGTTTCACGCACATGTGCACGAAACTTAATATACATTTATATCACTACAGTATACTTGGTCGGATCGATTTACTATTTACCTGCACTGTCTGTGTACACTGTTGTATATTTGCATTGTATGTACTGTGCACTGTTTGTATACTTGTACTGTGTATGTACACTGTTTGCATACCTGCGCTGTCTATGTACAAATCACAATCCAACGTTTCCCCCCCCCCCCCTAGCTGGAGGGAAGGCGAAGCCAAGGTTAAAGAAAGGCCAGGCGAATTGACCGACATTTGTTCAGAAGTTTGGTGATGAGGCACGATGACGATGAGGCTCACACCACCTCAACAGTCACTCAGGAAAAACACACGAGCACTGGTATGAAATATGATTCAAAACATTGACATGCTATGGTATGTTGGCAGGGCTCTTATTATTTTAGGAATATCAATATATATTTATATAAACATACAAAGTTTCATCCTTGCAATTTAAAAGCCTTGGGTGGGGCCATCCCCAAAATTTCTTACTCTTGTGACACTTCAGGCATACATGCACCTTTGCCAAATTTCAACCAGTGCAAAGCGAACAAACACAAATCAGTCACTGTGCTTTATATATTAGCTTCTGGTCTTTCTGAGTCATACCAGCTTCAGTGAAAAAATGAAACGCATCTCAAGGTCTTAAAAAATCCTTGAGAAGTTACCCGTGAGAAGCAATGGTGATAAGTTTGCAGGCATTTCCATTATGATAGGCAAGGTCTTTAAAATTCACAAAGTTATTTCAGCAAAAAGAATCAGTGGAGAAGTTAGGCATTTCAGACGTTAGTATCATACTTCTTGTGTAGTGTTTTCATCAAGGGGACTATGAGTGAGGGGAACAGTGTCAGTTCATAGTCTCGCCAACCGTGGCATCAAGTGGACGTCATCGAGATGGTACGTCGTACCAATAAAACATCACCAGCTTTCCACTCGCTCTACTTCTGAACATTCAGCCAGTAATGGTGAGCCTCTCTATTATGTTAACCGAGGATAATGCTCTTCATTTTGCTAAAAACTGACAATACCTTTACACAGTTGCCTCATTACCAGTGAAGTACAGTATTCTTTGTAACGTCAAAGTATTAACTTTGCAGTCGATTGCCATAAATTCAGACTAAGTGTGTCCTCAGACTCAGTCTAACATAGGTTAAAAATTCATGACCAGTATCTTCAAGTAGAGTCGCCAGTCTTCTTCACGTAAACCTTTTCTCATATTCGTGTCTCGAGTGGAGAGTCTCGTATCATCTTTGAATTTGCTCATTTATTACTTCATTACTGAGGTTCTTTTCCCTCCCTACAGAAGTCGCTCGGGGCTGTGGTTGTGGCCGGGCTGTGTGTCCTCTCACTACGGGGGGGCAGGACGAACGGCCAAGAATTGCAATGCAGCGAAGAGATTTCGGCCCAGTGCCCTATCAATGACCCGACCCGTGAGTTCTGTTTACACGAAGTATTTCCTTGAAATTCTCCTTCTGTTGTATTTATCAGTACTCTTCCTCATATTTAGTTTGTTTAAATTATCTTACTCGAGGGTCAGGTTAGTCTCACAATTCTCTTGTAAGAATAATGTTGATGTTTATAGTGGAGTTTGGTTATTCATTGAAACACTGTGTTCTCGCTTCCAAGCACGTGTTTCACTCCTTCACAGCTCCACTGTACATCGCGGACCCGGTCGACTGTGCCAAATACTGCGAGTGTTCCGTAGGCACCGCCTGGAGCTTCCACTGTGATGCCAATTTGCTGTTTAATGACATAAAGCACGTTTGTGACTGGCCAAGGAATGTGGACTGTGGTAACCGAACTCGGCCTACAGTTTAGTACTGCTGACGAAGGAGCGATTGGACCTGATGTTTCAACAGCTACACCATGGCTTCAGTTGATGGCTGACATTTGTGTGATTGATAATGAAAAATTTTCATGACATTGAGAATGATGCATCTATCCATTTTTTTTATTTCTTTATATCTTGTATTTCATTTCCTGTAGAGTAAATCATGTATTTTGCCGGACACATTAAACTTTGTATAACTTTTTCAAGACCAAATTAAGCTTAACTGAACCTCCACGTCTCTTCTTGGTGTTTAGAGTTAATTTTTAAAGTGTTTTTGGAAGAGCTGTGCAACAAAATGTAAAGATTCATGCAAATAATGTTTTAGACTCTAGAAGACTGAAATAAATTAATCAGCGTATCAAAGCCTTAATGGTAACATTATAAACCAAAATCAACATTTTACTGTCAACAATAATATTTGTGGGTGACTCACTCGCACGGTACTCAGTCTAAAGGAGAAAGGTTGATGGTTAGAAATTATGTATCTTAAAAGTTCCAACATTGGCACAATGTTATCTGGAAACTATAACCAAAGAGTATCAGGTTTCACCATCAGAAGGACACGCATGACACGACATACCGGGAACCAGTGAAAAATGGGACAAGGAAAAGAAAACTACCCATGGCAAGTGACTTGAGAAAAAATATTAACAATTAATTGTTTTGGGTCTGATAATGACGAGATATTTGTCGGAACCGTACCAAGTATATATATATATATATATATATCTTCAGGACACGTTGTGGTAGGCTTCATGTCTGGATCGTCCCTTTGATGAGTTCCAAGAAATCATCCTTAAACATTTGAAATATATATATATATATATATATATATATATATATATATATATATATATATATATATATATATATATATATATATATATATATATATATATATATATATATATATATATATATATATGATAACCACAAGGAAAAGAAGAAAACACGAAGTTCCCAAGCGCTTTGTATATTCTACATCTAAATTAGAACTTCTGTTTTTTTTCCTTGTATATATATATATATATATATATATATATATATATATATATATATATATATATATATATATATATATACAGTAAATCACTGTAGGTGCGCGTGATCTAGGTATATGCTGATAACCACAAGGAAGAAGAAAACACGAAGTTCCCAAGCGCTTTCGTATAATTCACATCTTCAGGGGTGAGTACAGACTAAAATAGAAGTGCAAGAACAAGTTATATATATATACAGAGGAGGGTTAGAACAAGTCCACAGAGGTCAAGTATAGGTAATGACCCTACTAATCTTTACAAAAGCACCGCAGCGGTCGGTAGTCAGGTCAGAGGAAAAACTGACCCAACCTTCTCACCTGGTTACAAATCTTCTTAATTACAAATTGTCCAATTTGTACATACCGTTACTCAAATTCATGTTAACGGATTCGGTATGTTTAATGAGACTAGATTCTATGATGTTCCTACTGTTCCTTGTGGTTATCAGCATATACCTGGATCACACACCTACAGTGATTTTTATTATATATATATATATATATATATATATATATATATATATATATATATATGTGTATATATATATACTATATATATTATACATATGTATATGTAATATATATATATATTATATATATATATATGTATATATATGTATATATATTATATATATGTATATATATATATATATTATATATATGTATATATATTATATATATATATATATGTATATATATATATATATATATATATATATATATATATATATATATATATATATATATATATATATATATATATATATATATATATATATATATATATATATATATCAAGATTTATCTTATCCACGTTTTCATTGTGGATCTACTTGATATATATATTTGTCGAAACTAATTGTGTATATATATATATATATATATATATATATATATATATATATATATATATATATATATATATATATATATATATATATATATATATATCGGTACCAACGTATTCTCTAAGTTGAGTCCTGTCTTGTGGAACTTGGATTTGCGGCCTTGTGTTACTCTCACATAGTCGAAAATAGCACTGAAATACATTGGTTTGTGTACCTAAAAGGACCATGTTCAACGCGCATTCGTCACATAAGGCTGCAAGTTTCGCCCCACCACACCGTGCCCCTTTAACTAGCATAGGAGGCAATGACAGGCACGCATCACCCACCACACCTCCCAGCTGAGCCAATGATGCAACGAGTAGACCCGCTTCAGCCATTGGGCGCGCATCTGGGGCACGTGGGCCGCAATGCATGACACTCAAACACAAAACTTTTACAACAAATATCTTCAAAATAAAGCAAACCCCACCTCGATACTTCTATTGGTATTGGAGTAACAAGCGAAAAACTTTAAGGTCTTGTTTCTCACTTTTTAAAAAATGGCACTTGCGGCCTTATGATTCTAAAGCCCTCATACGGTTCCTCGGGGCTGGTCAGCCTTATACGGTCATCAAGGCGTCATCAACACGTCATCACCCTAATCTAAATGAACTGCTTGACCCAATGTCAAGAAATAATACGATAACACCTGTCTGGTCCTGCACCGATCGATAAACATCCAGGTTCCGAATTGCCACCGAAGTGAGAGCTAAATATATATATATACTATACAGACATACTGTACATAGAGAGAAGTAAGAAAAAATAACACAAACACAAACTTGATTAAATGACTGAATAATATACTGTACTTATACAGGACAACTCTTTCTTGTTTGACCACCTGCTTTCCTTAGAGGTCTAGTGAGGGCCATCCTCCTGGGGTCTGTTGTTACTACAGGAGGAATCCGAAGTGCCCGCAGAAAACCTCTCATGTTCGGTGGGATCAAAATGCAGTTATTTTCTCACATCAGACCTAAGGCGATACTGGACCCAAGTCA